AGCTGCTCAGCACTTGTGAATGGGTCTCGCGAAGTCATGCGGGTGAAGAAAGAACAACCCGTTGATGATGACCTAGATGAGGATGAACAGAAGGTAGCTGAAGAAATCAAGGCTGGGGCCACACGGTTTCTATGTACTTATCAGTCGATACTATTTGTAGTAGCGACCTTCCTGTTACCCTCCCTGTGAACCATATACCCTGAACGCCCTTAACCTGGCCTTGCAGGCAGCCCAAGCTCAGCTTGCTCTTCTGAAGAGGAAGCAGACCTCCATCAAGAGCTCTAAATCGAAGCTGGAGCTTGGGAAGGAGGCAGGTGTCCAGTAGGTGAGTTTCTGATTCAATGGGCCCATCTACATAGATCCTGTTTGATTCCTGTCCTGAAATTTTGCCAACAGATGGATGCCGCCGCCGCATCTGAAGCTGAAACTATGCCAGCAACTCGTGAGCATTTTGAAGACTTGTAATGTGATTGTTCAGGGCCTGTGTGCTTCAGTATAAAAACAAGGTGGCATGACTGGCAAGATTGGAAAGCCACAGCAACCCCATCCCAGCTTGTGGCTGCTGGATCTAGACGACCTGCCGCTGTAAAGTCCAGGGCTAAGAAGCCAGAGACCTCAGAACCTGAGTCAAGCCAGCCTAGTACCACGTTCCAAGCGTGTGCGCACAGCTACCACGACCAGCCCCAGCACGTCCTCAACCCCACCTCCGAAGACTATGGCTGAAATGGAAGCGGAGCTAGCCCGGTTGCAGCAGGCCTTGATGCGTGCAATAAAAACCCACAAGCCTCCCCCCACCCCAGGAACCCTATAACCCTATATGTACAAAGTGCACAAAACTGGAAAAACATGGTCATTCAAATTTGCGCTACTTGAATTTTGAGGCGTTGCCCTTGGAAGGAGAACTCTGCGTTGAAGAGGCAGGGAAGCACGGCAAGTTTGCCTGACACTCTGGTGGTAACCACACCGCCTGCTCGGACTCGACGCAAGAGCCCAGCACCTTCGCCGGCGCCAAGCACGATCTCGAGAGCCACATCCGACCACGATCCCTCGTCAGCCTCAACAAAGGGTTCACGCTACCCGCCGCCAGAGACTGAGGCAGGTCTTCGAAATACCAGTTTTTGTTTATCAAGTAATCAGCCTTCAAACTCGCAGATGGCCAAGAAGCACCGCCTCCGTCGCCTGTGCGAAAGAAAGCCGAGTGGGAAGTTGAATGTTCCGGAAGCCATTCACCTTGCTTGGAAACGCGGCGGGACGGAGGCGGACGACTTGCTCAAGCTTCTTGAAGCATCCGACTGGGATAAGGACTGGAGCCCCAAGGTTTTTTCTGTTCTGAATTTCTTTTTTTTTTTTCCGTGAAAAACCATGATGAAATCTTCAAAAATCAGCCCTTCTCCAGGATGTTTTCATCAAGAAGAAGGTTTCCAGGACAAAGGAGAAGCTCAAGCGAAACTCCAACCGCATCAAGCGAGGATGGTTTACGATTGACGGCATGGTGCGAAAGTTGAATTTCACACGGTCTCTAAGCTCCATCCAGCCCCACAAAAACAGCGCAGTCTTTGTAGCCCAGGCCCAAAGTAACTAAGTATGTACCCAATCATGCCTTCCCCAACTGAACATCTAAGGCAGTATGCTCAGAAGTGCGCCAAGTATTGCAAGAAGAAGGGCAATGAGCACCTCAGAAAGATGCTTGCCTGAATCCATATACAGAATCATCTGCTTTAGGTGTGGTTGCTCTGCGTGCAGACCAGGTCAGCTTTGTCAGCAACCCCTATATAAGCCCTATAAAAACCCTAACCCTATATAAACCATATAAACCCCAAAACCTGAAAATCCCTAATCCTGCTAGTGAAGCCCAGGAAGGACAAGTACGACAAGGAGATTGAGAAGTACCTGATCGATTATGAAGATGAGCAGGAGACCTATGGTCATGATGAGGAGCGGGAGGTGGAGCAGAGTGAGGATGAGGCAGGGAACCCCAACAAGACTGTATAATTTTTTATACCTTGGAAGCAAACTACCCTGAATTTAGCAACTCTCTGTCTAGGCGGGGCCTCTATGAAAGTATACACCCACATACGGTTCTCATCAGGTTTATATTAGGGTTTATATAGGGTTTAGGGTTGATAGGGTTTATACGGTTTAAATCCCACGCCAGGCGAATGGCAAGCTTGAGCTGCGCCTTCTGAACGCCCCGGAGGCGGTCTCCGACGATGAGGAAGAGTCTGGCGATGACTCAGGCGAGGAAATTACGAGTGCGGTGAAGGACCCTTGATTTTTTTGCCTTTGTTGAGAATTTTCTAGAATTCCACTACCTCCCTAAAGGTCCAGCAGATTTGCTCTCATTCAATACCTTTCATGTAAGTATGCCTCCAATATACATACGTATGTGTCTAGCCTACGTAAGTACGTGCAGGAGTACACATCCTTCAAGAAGTTCGTCGATTCGCTACTGAGTCGCTCCTCAAAGCTGGGTGATCAGATTTCCGTCCTCGATTCCTACAAGGAATGTGTGGAAGAGAAGTCCGTGGAAATGAAGCGCATTGACAAGTCCCCTCCTTACAAACTCTGTAGATATATAAAGTGATGGATTTGTATATCCCCTTATCTGCCCAAAAGTACAACATTGATCCAGATAACCCCTATATAAGCATCACTACCACTTTCAGGTGCATTTCTTCGCTGGAGCAAGGCCAGCAATGCCTTGAGGAGGAGTACGAGAAGGCTGTTAAGGTCAAGGCGGACACATGTCGACTGAATGACAAGAAGACCCCCACGGATGCGGAGAAGTTTCTTGACCAACTCTAATTAAGACCCTATATAAACCCTATAGATACACACAACCCTATATAAACCCTATAGAAAAACACAAAAAATCTAAAACACTGTAAACCCTACAAGCCCTGTAGAAATCCTATAACCCTATAAACCTAAGCCTGCGATTGCCTCCATCTCAGGTTGATTGAGTGTCTCCACCAGCAAATGAACAGCACGAATGTGAAGTACCTTGCCTGAAAGGAATCGGTGTAGTCCGGTGCTGCAATTGTATGTGTGGACGAATAATTAAACAATCCTCCAAGGTGCAGTAAGGTGACCGCAGCTGAGAGTACCACGAAGACACTCGGCTACACAACCAGAAGCTATATAGAACTTGTGCTCAGGGGTAGGATTCCTATTCTGCATGTTGAAATGCACCCGGGCCTTGATGACCTAGGAGCCTCCTCAAGAACCTGCGCCAGACGTATGGGTGAAGAAGGATTTTCCTTCCTATGCTGAGCTTGGCTGATCTGGGTGGGGCTTTATGGGGGCCAGAGGAGATTCTGCATTCTCCATGGGGAGAACACGTGCAAAGCATGTGCTATGATGAACGCTGCAAATTTATTCTGACAGACCTGCCTGCCTAGTTTCACACGTGGCTTCATTCGCCTAGGCCAGGGACGGCTTCAGTTGCGCTATACGGTTTCTTTTTAAGCTTATAGAATTTATCACAGATACGGCATCATATAGTACGTCTTCTAAGGGACCCTCCCAAAACAAGCTGTCTCTGGCTTCGGCGATCGCGTGTGCGGAATCTTGTGTAGGGTGCCCACACAAGAGTTTCGGCAAGCTTGCTCCAAGACAGATTCCAAAAGCGAGTCAAGCCTTTCTCGTGAATACCGTGTATTCACTGTCCCAGGAATCCTACATAGATGCCATGCGCAAACTTCACTGCGTTTACATTTCTACTCACCAATTTCCTATAACCCTTGACCCCCTATAATGGCCCTATATGAGTATGACACGTACACTCCATCTTGGCCTTGGGATCAAACAATTGTGCATGTTCACTAACATGCCAAGTTAGTAAGAAGCCCAACCGTACTTCAAACCCACGCCAGGATGGGATCCAGGCAATGTGGTTCGACAGCTCGCGAAGTCGATTGCTCGTGGGGTGCAGGCCTTGGCATGGCAGGCGCAAAGCAGTTTTCTATTCAACGCTCGGGACCGCGTGCTTTCAAATCTGTGAACGTTCTGTCTTCTTCATGAGTGGCTCAATAGAGATGTATAGATGTGGCATACTCAAGTGAAGCCCGGCGTTTCCACATATCCTAGTCCTTGGGTGTCATAGTGGCTTTTGTGGAATCTGGTTAATTGCCCCATGCTTCTCTGTGATCTTGGCTTTGTACAGTGTTTCCCTGTTTATACAATTCATATATATGTATAGGGTTTCTATATAAGGTTCATGAGGTTTGTAGGGTTTATAGTGTTAGTCAGGGTTATAAGGTGTATAGGGTTTGTACTGTGTGTACAGGGTGTATAGATATATATATACATGGGTTATGGGCCTTATATGGTTTATGTATATACGGCTTATGTACATACAATTTACATATGGGGTTAATGTGGTTCATGGGGTATATAATATACGGTTATAGACGTAGAGTGCTCCTCCCTAAGTATATGCATTTGCTGGGTTCCCCGAAAACGAATTATTCTAACCACGCTGCCCTGCTTTTCTAAAGATGCAGCCTGGGCTGCGCAAGTCGTCTAGCAAAGCGGCTATGGATGATTTTCTAGATTTGTTGACATATGATTGCCCGTTTACTGGAAAGAAGCGCTGCGCAGCAGATCCTCTGCACCAGCCTAGCTTCAAACCAACTCGGAGTCTTCGCCGCAAGATGGCGGAGCCAAAAAAGCATTTTCATGTACTCTGCATAACTACATACAATTGATGTAGAGAAACCTCATATGACCCTGTGTCGAATCCCTCCGCAGTCCCAGGACAAAAGCATGTCCTGAAAATCAGACCTCCTGCAGAAGAACCACGCTGGATGACCTATCTCCCCTGGAGTGTGCTCCAAGCCCGCGTTCCGAGAAGTCGACTTGTCACCCAGCGCGAGAGCCAGCAGAAGTCACAGCGCCTGAGATTCATATAATTGTTTGAGAAAGAAGATCTTACGTGCAACAAATGTTGTGTAGGTGATGCTCAGCATCCCATTCCTATTTGCACTTGTGCACCTCAGGTTTCTACCAGGACTACACTGGAAGATTTGGGGCGCTGCTTTGATCCTATGTCCATTCCCTGGGCTGACCTTCGAGGATATGGTCTCATCAACCGAATCATGCAGTGCAGGAGACCCAAGCCTACTGCTGGACGGGTTCTACAGTACACCCGGCAACAGGTTTCTGCCTTCCGTGAGAACATGGGGCTGGAGGTCTGTGTTTTCAAGATTGGTGTGACTTCCAACCCTATCATCAGATACACAGACTACAGGTGTAAAAACTACACTGCCATGTGGGTGATATATGAGAGTCAGTCCGTTCCTGAGACCCACATGTTGGAAGCAGCTTTGATTTCAGAATTCCAAGCTTACACTGGCTGCCGGAACAAACCTGGATCTGGTGGAGAAGGTGCCCTCAACAAGGGTGGTTCAAATGGCCCCTTTTACACCTATGTTGCAGGCGGCCGTGCTGACCAAAATAGGTGGCTAGGTTAGGCTGTCGATCAGTGAAAAAAATATCACTGACAAGCGGGGTTGCGCTAGAGGGGATGCTGACGCGCGGAAAGGAAAATCAGAGCTTTCTGAATTCATGCGTGCAGTTGTGTTGCAGCATTGCCTGACTGGAACAATCATTGTATAAATACTGGTGTTCTGCATGTTTTTGCATCGCCCAGGCCCCCTGCAACCACGCTGTCGAGCACGCGAAGGCTGCTGTGAGCGAGAACCCAAACTCTACAAGGGCCTTAAGGGAACTAGCAGCTGTTCGGGAAAAAGGTGCGGAGGAACCAGTTCACAACATTTTCCGGAAGTACCACCTGACCATCCCGATAGAACCTGAGGTCCTAAACCTCGGGAAAGGTGAGCTGAAGAGGTTTCCATACATTCCTTTTTCACGATGGGTGCGATACTTGATGGATGTTGGCCTCGCATCGAAGCATCTATGCGGGGTACCCGAGGGTGAGATGAGAGCACTTCTTCTTGAATTCTGGTCAAGATACAAGGCCATACATGGCGAACATCAAATGTTTGCTATGGAGGGCCTGGACCTCGGGAGTTGCATACCTTGCTATTCGCATGTCGATGAGGGGCGGGCGTACAAGAAGCAGGGCATCCTTTTGCTGAGTGTTCACGGGTGCTTGGGGCGTGGGACACGAGCTTGGAGGAAGCGTGTTGGCTTCGGCGTTCGAAAGCAGAACCTGAAACGCTCCGGAATGGGTTTGAACTATGTTGGCTCTTCATGGGGCACCCAGTTTCTCTTCTGCTGCCTACATCGGCAAGCCTACAGCAAGGACCCCACCCCACTGGACACCGTGATGTCAACCTTTGCTGCTGATATGGCTTCGCTTGCGACGGATGGAGTTCCTCAGCAATATGTGTGCCTTTTTCTCAGATATAGTCATATATAATTAATTAGTCTAGCGGGTTTTTCGATCTTGGTTTGATGCAACTGGTAGAATTGTTAAGTTTCCTTGTCTCAGGTTACAAACAGCGCTGGCACCCGCAGGCTGCATGTGATGCATCTAGGTCTCAAAGGGGGACCTCGTGGCGCTTTCCAAGGTTGGGGGGTTCAAGAGGTCCTTCACAAGAGGGCCAAAACAGGCCCAGGGTCACAAAAGCAAGGGTGTGTGTTATTTGTGCTTAGCCGGCAGAGAAACACATATTTCTGAGATTCCGTTTGAAGATTTTTCTCGCACAGCGTTGTGGCATGCCACCTACCTCACAGAGCTCCCCTACGACAGCCTCCCACCCGTGCTGGCTGGCTTGCCCTGGGGACCTCCGGAACAAGGGCCCTGGTTCTTCAAACACGATTTCTGGCATAACTGGCACAACGGCGTAGCCAAAGTTTTCTTGGCATCATCTTTCGTTGTTATCAACATGGCTGGCGTGCTGGAGGGGAGATCCATTGATGCAAGGTTCGAGGTGCTGTCTACAGATTACAAGGATTTCTGTCGGCGACACCGCATCAGCCCTTTTTTGAAAGAGCTGAATCGTGACACGTTTGGCATGGATACGGCTCAAGTCTTCCCGAATGGGACTTGGAACAAAGCTGTGGTCAGAACACATTTGATGCTGTTTCTGGGTGACTTTTGCGAAAGGCACTTGTCTGGCAAAACTGATGATGTATTGCTGCTAACAATTGCTGCTAGGCTTCGGATCATTTAAGTTTTTGTTCCCATTATTTTACTTTGTGTACCCCTATTCGAAAAAAGTACGCAATTAATTGTGTAAGGTTACGGCCACTCGCCTCATGAATGTGGTGATCTCCGTCTTCTACTCTGAAGGTTTTTGGATTCCCAAGGATCGTGCCAAACAGCTTAGCTTGATGCTGTTTAAGTTCCTGCGCTGCTACCAGCGCTGTTGTTCTGAATGTCTCTCCCGACGGTTAAACCGCTTTTCTTTAGTTCCAAAGTGTCATATGCTTGCGCATACGGCAGAGCAACTTTTGAAGCAAGCAGACATTGCAGAGTGGGTAGAGAACCCTGTAGCCACCTGCAATCAAATCCAGGAAGACTTTATAGGAAGGGGGGCAAGGCTGTCGAGACGAGTTCACATGAACAAAGTTCATCGCAGAACTCTTCAAAGAGCCCTCTTAGCTGTTTACCAAACCTTGCATGATTAGGCAGAAGGTGCCAAACATCCCGAAGAGATCTTAAAAGGTTCTTATCTCATCTCAAAACACATTCCTTGAGCTGAGTCTGGTTCTACGTGGGTTATAAACATCTATATAACTATTTATATCCAGTCAACACCCCACAATACATCAACCCGGGCCAAGCACGGCACCTCCTCTGCCCAGCGAATCTCCGCCGCCACGGAGAAGGAGAAGAAAGAGGTTGGAAGGAAGGGAGTTCAGGGCATCTCGGGTGGGTTAGTCTTCTACTTGTTTATGTTAAACTCACAAGTTCAGGTTTCCTGAGATTAGCATGGCACAATGTAGCTTCAAGCTACATTTATCTCTTGTTGAGACGTCGGATGCTTTCAAAGGGAGAACACTATATCGTCTTTCACTACATATCCTCACATCTTTTGGGCCCAATGTATAGAACCTTAAAAACCCGCAAAACCTGGTTTTCAGACTCCTGTCCCACAATTCCCGCTAGGTACCCGCAAACCAAAACAGTTTATGGTTCAGACCCAAAAAAGGAAGGACATGGAGGCTCCAGGTACAGACTAATCAGGATCAAGTCGTGAACATTTTCTTCCAATCAAGCAGAATTTAATCAACACCAGGTGAAATCAAATTCAAATCCACTGAAGTCAATTGAACATCGAATTAAAACCGACACGAGTCGAATTAATTTTCAATCAAAATCAAGTCAAAACCTAATCAACATCAATCAGATCGAGCTGAAATCAATTGAAATCCGACTACATTTTGCAACCCAATAAAGACCAAGTGATAGCTAGTTCAACTCCAATAAAAACCAATTTCAATCAAAATCAAGTGGAATTCTTAACCTATCCCTTGAACTCTAGTTCGTGTCAATCGCCCATCTAATTAGAACCAATTAGATATGTCATTCGAGTCAGTTTAAAATCTGTTGACATAAGTTGAAATCAAATTGGAACCAGTGGAGACTCCAATTAAGTTTGATTAAAGCCTAGATATCCTGGTGAAAAGTTCGGCGGCAGGACAAGTTTGCTATTATTCCGACTCCACCCAAAAAACACAATTGCTAAACGCGAATCCGGGCCTTTGCTGCACTGCCCTCTTCAAAAATTAACGGTTCGATTGCTTTCGCATAGTCCCGGATAAGCTCTGTTTATGGAGCTGGGGTCTTGGTTTCTGGACTTCATCGTCTTTGATATCTCGCCTGATAGGTAAAGGCTCTGGTGCTAGAGCTCGAGAAAAAGCTTCAAGGCCTGAGACTCAAGGCCTTTCAGGTTTTCAAGGTGTTCTCCAGAAGAATTAGGCGGCTGAAAAAGTTTGCTCCTTGTATCATCCCGACATCCAAAAACAAGGCTTAAAGCAAATTCACGCCTCTGCTGCACTACTCCCTTCAAAATTGACGGCTCGTTTGCTTGCTTATAATCCCGAATAAGCGGTCCATATGGAGCCTTTTAATCTTAAGGGATCCTGGCCGAAGAGAAAAAGCGGTCTCAGAGAGCACTAGCACGCTGTTTCTATTGTACTTTTCTGAGCTGAAGCACACTCAACTTAAGTTTGGGATCTGGCATCTTCTATGTTGGGCCCCAAATTTTTGTGTTATCCCGACTCCTCAAACAATAGCGAAATCTGAAAGCGTCCCCGAAGTTTTTTTTTTGCTATTCCGAACCCCTCTGCAAAAGCGGGTCCAACATTTGAGCGCAGTGTTGGACACATCCTTGAATGAATTGTTGCAATGCCAGCCCCCAAACCCTGAACACCAGACACCCGTAGCCCTACACCTCCTATTGGATGCTGTGTTTTTGTGCGGTTCTGTTCAGCCCTGGAGGCCCCCTAAACCCCTAAGATTTGAACCCATTTTCCGGATGTAAGGCTCAGTGCTCACCCTTGACCGTAAACCTGTAAGCCTTAAACTTCTCCAGCAAAGGCTAGATCCGGGGTATTGGCTCAACGAAACTCGGCTGCAAGTTGGCGGACACTCCCGACCTGACCTGACACTACCGCGAATGGTGGCTGAAAAATCAAATTGTTCCCTGACGGCTTTTGATGCAGCCTCAGGTGGTTTTGGGTGCGTGGGGTGAAGGGGCAGCCATCTTAGAGACTCCTGATGAACGCACGGGCAGGTACCTGAGACACGGACAGTCAAAACGGCGGGATCTTGAGGGTTCTCGAACTTAATGGTGGACTTTTCGTGTGTCTTTGTATCACAGGTCTCAGGGCGACCCATGTTTTGGGAGGCTTCCACATGGGAGTTTAAACCTGGTCTCATGTGTGTGCATTGAAGCCTTGCAAGCCTGGTCACCCATGTTTCAGAGCCAGAGCTCTCAAACTCCAACAAGATCAGCAGGAGCATCCCTCTGTTTCACGAAGCCTGCACGTGAGGATGCGGTGATTGGCTTTTGGACAGCCGCTTGCCTTGGGAACAGGGGCTGTGCCTGAGTGAGCGAAGTTGAATTTCATTGTATCTGCAGTAAGGCCTTTGTGCACTTTGGGGTGCCTCGTGATGATCGCATACGTAGGGGATAAAGAAATACTCTGCGTGACATCTTGCACTTGAGAGCACGCTAGGGTTCTTCTCAAAATCCTACGCGCTCACTCAAGCCTCAAATATGTGACACCTTCGTGTCAATAATCAAACTACGTTAGGATCCATGAATGCAATATCGCCCTGAGCTCTAACCCAGCTAAAGGCCGTGACAACAAATTTCCCTTAACTGACCACGGGCTTGCTTCAGCTGCAGGGGTTGAGGGCACAGAGATACACATCTGGATGTGAGAGCTGTTTCCCACAGGTCCAAGTATTCATGATGTGCTCATTCCCGCATATACAGAACACTACAGATTAATATTGCCGTTGCGCAACTCCCAGCCCTAAACCATGCACCTTACAAAAAGTAAACCTGAATCCTCAGCATTGGCCTGTCGCAATTTGCTACGTTCCCAGACTCTCTTACTGTGGGTTGGGTAATGCTATCTATGAAAGTTCGCGCTTCCTTATTCACCGACACCCCCGCCCGAATGAGCCTTAACAATCATGGGCTGTTCGAGGCAGATGTTTGGGCGTGGGTCGCGTTCCCAAAGTGATGTTTCGAAGTCCAAGTAGACTTCACAGTACGTCCTGTGGCAGTAACTGTAAGGGGAGAGACCCAAGGTAGACCTTGAATTCTATATACCCTGACCCTAACCTGAGCCCTAGACCCTAAAACCAAAAGTAAGGAATACCTTAGCACTGCAGCGCCTCCGGACGGCCTCGGGAACCCGGATGTGCTTATCGTGGATGCTGCCTCTGCAAACTGGCAACTGGTCGTCATAGCAACTTCCAAGGCTTAAGGCCCATGGCTTCGGTTTACAGTCTGAGGTTGAGGTTTAAGGTGTGGGTTGCGGGTTCCATGGTTTAGGGTAATTGGAAGTTGAAGCAAGAGCGAAGCCCAACTTTCTGAGTATCACCTCAATATCCACTCATAGTATTCAAGCCCTTGTAAGCCCTTTTCGGAGTGTTCGCAAGGTCTTTGGGTGTAGAGTAGCTTCAGGGTGTAAGGTTTGGTAGCTTTCGGTCTCGGGGTTTCGGGGCTTGGCTTTCTGGGCTCCGTCTTTCGTGTAAGGGCTTTTTAGTTGGATGGCTTTTGTCTGGTGTCACAGTTTAGGGTTTGAGGTTGCAGCAGAAAGTCTTCACCATTTTGAACAGCTCGGCGGACCGTGTGAGGGGGAAGTCCGGCCGACATTTCTCGCGCGGTCTTGCATGACCTCCGCCCTTGTCGTCATTCGTGGGCTGGGACGGAGTTTCAGTTTCTACCCACACTACGCCTCGCGTAATCCCGGCAATCTCCTTCTTGAGTTCTTCCTGTAGACATTGGGTTTCAGAATGTCACCTTCAGAACACGTATCCATAGGAACTCGCACCGCACCCACTGTAACACATAGACAGCTGAAGGGGCGGCAAGGTTGATGAAGGCCTTCTCGGGGTTTGGTGCCTGAGTTGTCCCAGTGTAAGCTTTTTGTGGCACCCGTGGGAAGACTTCGCCAGACGGACTCTTTCCAGCTACCTCACAGAAGTTGGAATTGAGAGTTCTAGTTCAGCTTAGGATGGCTACAGAGGACGACGAGGAAGATGTGCTGGACGTTTCTCGACCTTGACTGTAAAGATGTGCCTAAGCATGGCTGACCTCAAGATGCATCAGTAGCAGTGGAGCAGTGGATGTGGAGTTGGCGTCAAATGGCAAGAAGTCTTCAGCCCAGTGCAGGATCTGCGGTTTCTGTTTTCTACATGTCAAACCGACTTGTTGTATCTATGCGCCAGAACCAACCTTCACCACGCATCTTGAATTTCAGAAAGATATTATGGCGTTCATGATGCCCAGCAAGGGTGCCAGAAAGCACAACCCCGTGTTTGCGTGGCTTTCACGTGTTGATGGGGGGATTGGTTCGACAGTTTACTCTGAATGTTTGTATAGTGGGTGTGAGGGTTCCAAGACGCTGGTCCTGCGAATTGTTCAAGGCAATTGGCCGTGGAGGTTTCAGTCCTTCAATGTCGTCATCATGCTGGTATCCGAGCATGTGCATGTTTCCCGTTATGGCTTGCAGAGTCTTTCTCAAATGCAAAGATGTGGGGAGTCGTTAAAAATGCCGATGTTGCTTGTTCAGCCGGTTAAGATGAGACAAGGACAGCCCTCAAGATGGAGCTTGTCTTTGCGTTGCGTTGCGTTGCGTTGCCTGCGTTTTCGCAAACCCGCATTGCCTTGAACACCGAAGTTTGGCGTCTAATACTCTCGGTAGCGAATCATGACCCCACAGACCCGAAGTCTGGAAACCTATCTTCAACCCTAGCTTACAACCTCAGGCTACACTGCACTCTATACCCGGAGCCTTACCCTTGGGGCTGAGCCCGGAACAGCAGCAAAGGCTCTGCAGAGCTTGGAGGCACCAAGCAAGAAGCCCAGCTTGCGTTTGGGGTAATGAGGCTTGTCTTTGGAGTTTGAAGGAGGACCAAGATCACGTTGGAGGTTGTATGATTGGGGTTGGTGTTCTGACTTCGAACCTTCTTGCGCGCCCCAAGGATTGACAGATAAGGCCAATATTTGATTGTAACGTCTCGTAGGCTTTGATAATGAAGATGCTCTGTGCTGAGCTATTTCTGGTCTTCAGCCCGGGCATGCGAAGCCCTTTTCTTTTTCCAATGCCGCTGTTTTTCCTGCTGGGCCTGGTACATGTACTCTTCCTTGTGGACATCGATTCATCGGTTTTTGATTGATTTGCTCAGGAATGTACGGCTGCACCTTGAAAAGGAAGCCGGAGACCTGAAACCTAGAGCCGACATGGTTTGCGTTTCAGCGTTGCAGTCGTCAGAGCAAAGGAAGATGGTTCTGGTACCCATCAGCGACCGCACGGACCCGTGTCACGGCCGGAGAAGCATGTAGTTCCCAGCTTTTCAACGTCTTGCGTGCCAACTTGTCAGTTGCATGTCCACGCAGAAGCATGGAAGGCTACATGAGTTCATGTGCAACCAAACCAGACTGGTTGCTAGTTAGCTAGACAGTAAGCCACAGACGTAGTAAAAGCTTTACTGCCCCCATCCAATCCTTTGTCAGAGAACATAAAACATTGCATGTTGTAGTTATTTTGCTGTGAACCTCCAGAGTGTAGCTACAGGTGCTCCTCCAAGTATCCCACCCTTCTTTCCATGGAATGCCACGGTCGCCACAGTTCCGGGCAGCCAGGTTGGTTTCTTATAGAACAAGCAAGAATTCGCTCAGCCCTATCCTGAACCCGAAAGAGCCCTGGAAACCTTGACCTTGAGCCCCGCAGGACCGAGGCGAGAGCCTGTATCAGGGAAATCACTGGGCGCTGCTTGCGCTGACTCGCGATGGGGAGGACAGAGCGGTGAGTCTTGGGATACAGGATTGCCGACGCAGTTTTCTGCCCTTGGGCAAATAGGGTTGCAAGGCCAGGTTAGGGATACTTGCTGAGGACTGTGACCAGTGGTTTCAGGTGGAGGCATTTCTAGGGTAAACGGCTTCAACCATCTCCTGAAGAAAAACAATGCCCCAGTAATGAGTGCCCTTGTGGTCAACAGAAGAGTGTTTGTCAGGTGGGATGCTTCATTAAGAGAAGATTACACCGTAAACAGCCAATACACCCTAAACCCGAATCCCTCAGCCCCATACCCCTTTCTCTGTAGTGTAATAGGCCCTAAACCCTCAGCGTTTATGGTTAGCCTCAGCATCTTAGAGACCAAGTCTGGTCTGCGGGCCTGCACCATGGATCTTGCTCCAACAGAGGTGTCACTGGGTGTCCAAACACAACTAGTGAGAATCTAGGAGTTCTTTTTGGGTTCAGAGTATGTACTATCAGGGTAACTGGACCCTGGGTACAGAGTCATGGATAGCAGGCCAGTTTGCATCGCTGTCAGGGTCATGCGACCTGGATCTTCCATTCTTGAAATTCCCTGGGTACGGGCTCCACATGAAACATAGAAACTTTCACTAAGCAAAAGGAGCTTGGAGCCTCATTGGGGCAAAATTGTATGGTCCTCATCTACATCCCTGGCTGAACTATGGGGCCTTCAGCTTTGACATCTCCAACTTGCGGATTGATTCTGTGTAACTTGACGGCCTATGCACACTTAATAGCAAATACTCCCCGTTCAATACCTCGAGGTTTCGCTTACATATGTAAACTGAACCAAACAGATTAGCGCAATCAGGAGACGTGCGGCTCGTACTATGATTCCATGGGCCGGGACTTGGTTCCGCTCTGTTAAAAGTCGGTTGAAGGAGAGAAAGGAGTTGCTTTGTTTTTTTCTCCCTCCCTGCGGGTGCGCTGGTGTTTACATGGTCTTTCAAGAGAGTTTGCGAAGGGAGGTAGATGAATGAACTCAGGCAGCAGGGTCGGGGCTTTCTGAGGCCCGTACGTAAGTTTAGGAAAAGCTTTATGCAGCGCTCCTTCAGGAAACACCATTTTGCCGCTCGTTGTTGTGCTCTGTGGATTTCCAAATCTTTGTTAGTGCCAGATTGCTAACATGTGTTGGACCGCCGCGTTCTTATATTAAAATGACACCGCACACAGGCTTGGACCATCATGTCGAAAATTTGGTTGCGCCTACCTTCGTATTGCAAGTATTCCAATTGCTTCCAGTAGCATGCGCCAAACCTTGGGAGCCAAATCCCCAAAGTAGGTGCCTGTGAATCTTAGAGCCCCAAGCAGACTTAAACCCCTCTAGGACCACAAAAGCCCGAAGGCAGCAGCAACCTGGACCAAGCGAAGCTCCTGGGCAAGCGGATAGCACAGGGCATGGGCGGAAGGCCGGGCAGCCTTTCCTCGCCACAAACCCCTGCTCCTGACTCCGAATGAGACGCAAATTCTAAACAGGAAGAAAGTACAATCCCCCCAGTATGGAGAAGGCTTCTATGCTGTATGAAAGGATTTGTTTTTGTCGTTTCTCAACCACCAAGAACACAGCCCGCATGGGGCAGCCTTTTCAAAGTGAGAGTCCTCCTTGCTAGACACCAAATGACCACCAGCGTCATTTTGAGATTTAAGGAGTCCCACAAAAACCCATCATTCTCAGAAAAACCTAAACGTTTTCAGCCTGTAGACCCCCAAGGTCACCCCACATGTACGCGCCTACACATTGCACCTCTAGACTCCTGAAACTAAGATCCAAGTCACTTAGCCCCCAAGACCCCAGGCCCATAACCTGAGACCCGAAACCCCAAACCCCTGACCCATTCTACTCGGACAGGTTTCGAGGCGTTCGACAGCTAGAAGCTGGCAAGAGCCTTGACAAGTCCTTCAATGGGTTAAGACACAGGTTATGTCAGGGCTACTAGTCAGAGTTGATGCCTACACATGTTTAAGGTGTGTTTGGCTTCTTGTTTGTTGTATGTATGGGACATTTATGACCTACTATTAGGATCCGTGGCAACTCAGCGGAGGGTCCACGTCTTGGGAATTCCGAACATGGTTTAGTAACCCCCCTCATTGCTGGCATCCATTCGTTTGCAATTTCTTTACTTCCTCGATCCTGACTGGGCGGTGGGCGGTATGGCGGCACTCAGGACCAGGTCCATGGTTCTCTTCTTTTCCCTGATCCTAAGCGGAGGGGCTCAGTCACATTCCACGCTAGCGCTCTCTTTCTTGCAGGGTCCGCGCAAAGCTGCTGGACCGACAGGTTCAGTCTTTGGCACTTGCATAGTCCGTGTCGGTCGTGTTTTTCGGCTCTCCTGGCTAAGCAGGTAACATTTCAACGTGTTTGGTGGCAAGAAGACCCACCAGATCACCGCACGAAACGCTAGCAAACCAATGTGAATTTTAGCATCGTATAATAGCACCATGACCAGTCCCTGTCATGTAGCTCCTAGTGCCTCTTTTGGTTACTGCTATCCCTCAAAGCATCCATCCATTCTTTTGCCAATATGCTCCTGAGGCAAGGGAACGCCTGCGACTGCGGGGTTTTTAGTTTGCAGCTTGGCCAGAGGTTGAACAATGCTTTCTTCCGCGCATAATCTGTCTGAAGCACATCATGCATTACACAACCCCTTTCCACTTGTAATAGTCGCAACCATAAAATGCAAAGTCACCGTTCGGGCTTGGCATGTCCAACGAAGATGGATGGTTCAGGGTTTTGGGTGACCACATGGTCTTGACAACGGGCGTCAGGTACGGGGTCATGCGAGTTCTCGCTTTGAACCATGTTGGCCTTGTGGCCCGTCCCGAAAATGCTCATTCGCGTATGGGCTTTTGTTGAAGGATGTCTTGTACGATATGTTGGGATCATATAGGGTTAGACGATGCCCTGGGCCCCAGGAACTATCTCACCTAAGCCCTGAGCCGCTCTCTGTGTCTTTGACCTCTCGATACTCAGACCCGGGCCTTTAACCTGGAATGTTTAGACCTTGTTTAGATCTAATAGAACCCTGAAAACTCAGCCCTCTTCCTGCATAGGACTACGGACTACGTGCAGAGTCTAAGCAGGGACTCTATTTTCGTTGGTCGCGACAGGGACAATGTGCAACCTCTTGCAACTTCGCCCCCCCCCGATTCCATTAATAACCACCGCTTCATCTGAAAATGGTATCAATGGCAAGAAGAAATCTGTTGCGTCCCAAATTAAAGGTTCTTATTGCGCTGAAGAGCTGTTGCAACATGCTAAAGTTTCATGAATCCTAGAAGGCCGGCGCAACCGCAGTCATCGTAAAAGCCTTGAACCTTTAACCCACTAAGGCTCTTTGCTGAAGCTTTGGCGCGGGGGTCCAACCCTGCAGATGTTTCCCAGAGCCTTTTGGATGTCGGAGAAATGGGATGTTTGGTGGGTCTTGAAGGTGGTTCCACGGGTGTTTTCTCAAAATAGGGATATGCCCTTGGATCTTGAGGATCCCGTGCTGAAGAAATTCAGGGATCCTCTTGGGTTTGGAGATGTGTGCCTTGAGTGCGAAGAGTTTTTTTTTGATTTGTTGATGGAGCACTTCATTGGAAAATTTGTTGGAACGAAGGCTTTCCTTTGTCATGCCTTGCTTTTTGTTTTTTGGAGGGTGCAGCACCGGCGAAGCTAAACGCAAGGGGTCTTGGGGCGTCAGGCCTGGAGCGCCAAAAACGTTGCAGATGCTGCCCCATTGAGCGTGGGAAGGCAATTAAATATCTCCCGACAGAATTATTTGGAACTGCCCTTGCAAGAATTTAGTGTTGGTATTGAGCGGGCTTTGCTGGCTAGATCCAGGCCTGCATTTGAGGCTGGGCAGTCCAAGGGTATCACATTTCCCAGACTCTGTGCTGAGCCCTATAGGCCCAGGACCCCAAAACTAAGCCAAGCAGCTTTTGGTTCCATCCGATTGTACAGAGTGCCAAACTTACAAGAAGCATGTACTATTTCGAACTCGTGCTGCATGAGTCAACGGAAGATTAGCAAGATCAGTGGCGATTTTCATCGCAGCGCGCCCCTCACGACAGTGAGAATAAGATTGGCGGTGATCAGCACCAAGTTGGTGAACATGATACTCTTCATTTCAGACTTGTATCACTTGCATTCACGTGAAGCACATCAAGAAAACAACACAGTATTTGGGCACATAAGAAAATAACGAGCCAATAGCGGACTGCAACACTTCAACACTCCGCGAATTCATCACAAAGCAGAATGGTGGTACTGATCGCCTTTGTCATCCCTGCCGTTCACACAGTCCAGGCCAAGCTACCGCCATGCGCTCTCGAATGCGCGAGACCATTCTGAAGCTGGCTGAGCGCAAATAGGGCCAAGTGAAAAGCGGTGCTCTTTCGTGGCTACAGAGGATGCTCGTATGGTTGCGGTGTGGTCATAGGAGTTTCGGCAATTCCAATTTGCTGAGCAGGGATGCGGACCTATGCTTGTTGGTCCTTCACTTTGCAGCAGCTTGAGCGTGGGCTAGGTTTTTAAAGGGAAGCGTGTGCATGTGTTGTGAGGACCAAAAGGACCACAAAGGGAACAGGCTCCCCTGGATAGCACCTTATCCTGGGCACAACAGGACATGGCCATAGTCCCTGAAGCGGCCACCACCCAAAATCCCGAAGTGAATGCCGCTGCAGGTTTTCTTCCTTGGGCTCACTTACGAGGCAGCTTTCGACAAACATGTTGAGCACGCTTCAAGCCATGACACGCTGTCTATCGGTTTTCAAGATGTAGCCTTGAAGAGCCAGCGTTCCAGTATTAGGGGGCTGCTTTTAATTTTTGCTTGTTCAAGATCCGAACTTCCATGCTCTGCATGAGATAGTCAGTAGGTATATCAGTTGCCTAGCAGGCTCGCACGTCCACAGGTCATCTGAGAAGTCATGACCTTTCACAAGTACTTCTTTCAGTACCTGGTTAGCACAGTTAGCACAGGATGAGAACACATTTTCATATCCACCGAGCGAAAAGAAGCATGCGAATGAATGCATCGTTGGCCCGTAGGAATGGGAGGAGGGGATTGACTTCTATGGGGATTATACAGGGGCCACTACAGGGTCCGCTCCAGTAAGTGAACCCGAAACCCTGAACCCACCCTTTGCACACAACCACGTAGACCCGGTCAAATCAGCCTTTTTGAACGTGATTCTGCTAGGAATCCTAAACCGTCAGCTAATTAATGTCCTTGTGGAACAAGTGTCTAGAAATCAGGAACCCTGCAGCTACTCTTTGCCATGCGGCGCCGCAAGGGAGGTGAGGAAAGCGCGGGGGCTGCAGAGCAGCAGACGGGAGGCTTGCGGCGACCCCTGCAATTCTTATAAGCCATGCTAAGGCCTACCTTCTAGATCTTCTGCCTACATTTTTAGGATTGCTTTAAATGAGTTATTCTCCACAAAACGGGTCTTTCAGAGAAGATCGACCCTAAACGGGAGGTTTTACAGTTTACGGTTGCTGATGGCGTAGGATTTAGTGTGGGTTTCATGAGGATATGGTAGTTTCCTTAAATATAGACCCCAAAATATTATATTCCTTATCAGAGGGATTCCTAGCAGGTACCCGTAATTTTGGGAAACCTCCATGTAGGGTTTATAGGAGTCTGGGCTCATTGTCTATCTGTAGGGCAAGCCTGCCCAGCCCAGTAGTGTTTGCCTGTCTCCTCACAATCCCGAGATTGCCCTGCGGCCCTAGGGTGCCGCTATTGCCTTTATTCAGCGAAACCCGCAAGTGAAAAATGTTTTGCTGGGCTTGGGAAGAAGTTTTGCAATAACCTATAGTAACCTAATGGGCCACTTCTACCGGGCCTTGCACGATGTGACCTGGACCCCTGTTTCGGAAACTAAAAGGGGCGCGTCATGGCATGATGGTTGGCGAAGAAGAGTACCATGCTGATGATGATGGTGATGATTCTGCTGATGGCCTTGACGGTGCTTGCCTTCAAGCGAATGTAAGTCGATTATTCAACAGCTAATTTCTATGCGCTGGCCGTTCAGACCACCATTGCAAGCGGACTTGGGGTGGGGCTTGCATGTGTCAAGTGTCAGGATTGGTACAGTTCAGAGATTTCATTCTTGCGATTCGGCTCCTTCAAATGTAATGCATCCACAGGTGTGTTTTCTCAAGCCAGACCCTCTTGACCGTGTTACATTCCCAACGCGAATCCGAAACGCTTGCTGCATCCTGCAAGCACTGCATACAAGACACAAACGGAATTGCGTTTTAATTGTTTGCATGAACCATATCATCTCTCGCGCGAGCCTCTGCCTGCAAAGTCCCAGCAACCATGTGTCCAAATCCAAGTTACAACTCAAGCCACGCAGCTTCTGATTCTTCATTGCAGCATGAGCATGGTGCCGGCTGCGTTATGGTTAACAGGTACTGTGATCGTGAGAAGCAGCATAACAACTGCAACAAGCAGTATACTAAGATGTTCGCTGACATTCGTGGTGACAATGAACGTAATGATTCTGACAATAGGCTAGTGGTGATCATGATGATGATGATGATGATGATGACACTGATGATAAATGTCACGGCCTTTCAAGCAGGCTTTTCCTGTAGGAGGGGTTCCCCCCCCCTCCCCCCGAAAATCATGAAGTAGGGCTCCCTAATCCACCGGCAGCTCTGAACCTGCAATCCTAAATCCCAAAAGGCCTATCCATCCTAAACATGCCAACTCTTGCAGTTCTAAAGCCCTACACCTTAAACTTTATCCCTCGGGGCCCTTCATTGTTTCGGTCAGGCCTTATCGGCTTGGGGCTGATCAGCCGCTCAAAAGAGTTGCTTTGGCGAACAGCTGGCGCGTGTATGGGGATTTCCCACAGACGGGCAAACTAAGGGATCCCAGGAACAGATCAAAAGGGATTTATGGGTCACCCTTTTTGGGGCTTCGGTTGGGCTAGCTCGAGAAACATTAATATGGGGATCTACCAGCAAACGAGCCATTGCAATATGTGCGACTATATTAGAGTTTCTCTAGAATGTCCAACATATCGAGTGCGTGGTTTGGGTTTCAGAAGGTTTCAATTAGGGCCTGTAGCGTTTGTGCTTTGGTGCTTGTATAGGGTTTAGGTCAACACTTGGAGGTGTACAGGGCAAAGCAACTGCAACCATGGCTACAAAGGCGTGCCCAGCCACAACAGCGCCCCACAGCCCAACGCATTTCGTGGCAGATCAGGATAACTTTAAGCTCCAAACCCTCCAATCCTCATACTTGGGACAGGGGAGACGTCAGGAACACGTGATCCTCTTCCTCTCCCACGACCGCTATATCCTTTCAGAGCAGGACACTTTATTGGCCCTGGGGATACGGTAATTCACTCAGTGTTGAGAACCCCGTGCTAGTCGCCCAAAATCAAGATTCCTCAAGGTAAGCCTCCCAAACCCTGAACCACGTTATCCCCAAATACCCAGGCATGGACTGCCGTTGACTTTGTCTGCGGACCTAGGTACAACCTTGTCTGCATGTGGGCAGCTTTTGTGGTCGCCATCACGTTTGTGACAGAGGCGGGAGGCAGGCCAAAAGATGAGACACCAGAAGTGTTTAACATGTCAGGCTCGTAGCTTTCTGCAACCCCCCCCCCATGACACCCTCAATCCAAAATCTCATGTCCTGATGCCAAGGCTATGTGAGGCGCCAAGGAGCCCGTATACTATCCCTGACAAGCGCGACAAAGTCCCCTGCGCAGCCCCGACCCCAGCTATGAAGGTGTCGTCCTCGACAGCCTACGGTAAGTTCGGAGGCTCAGCGACTTTCTCGGTGCCACCCCAAATAGGGTGGTGGCTGCTTGGCACTGCTCAAGCGAGCATATTTACGTTCAGGGCTTGGGTTCAAGGTTTTTAGGGAGGTAGAGGTTTGGTGGGTCTTGTTGCTCATCATTTATGTTTTGCAGAGTCTGCTCATGCATCGAAATCTGACATTAGATCTATGACTTTGGACTGGTTGCTTCAATAGTTGTCTTTGCCAAGGACTGCTAGGTTGCCGAAATCCTCGTGAATTCAGGTCGCCTTTGTTTGATATGGGTACTTCTTAAGACTCAAGACAAGTCTGATGCAGTCGTTCAGGGGCCCCCAAGAAGTCTTTTTAATCACCGCATATGCTTGTGGGGGACCTTAGGGCCCCTTTTTTGCAAGAGCCGTCGTGTGAAGCTGCAAGGGCTCATCTCGGGCGGCTTCAGAAATGTACGTGTGGGGTTGAGGATGTGTTGCTGCATCGCGTGCGGTCGGACCTAGGGAGCTTCTCAAATCTCACCTGTAGAACCTTATGAGGCTTCTAGGATTCCATCGTAATCCCTGCAAAGCTGAGGAGCACCATGATCCGTTTTGGCAACCTCGCCTTTCTTGGGCCAGCTTCTTTTTCTCCTACGTTACTACTTGTTCATTCCAACCCTCTGCTTCTTCTCTTCTCTTGCGGCTGTTGCTTCTTTTGTTGGCAGTCCTTGGCATTATTGTTTCTGGGCTCAGATGGGTCTTGAGCGAGTTGCATAACAACTTGGGTTTTGAGTAAGACCCCTAGACTTTAGAGGCTGGATTTCGGGGCGTCCATGCAGCTGATTCGCAACCCTGTGAGTCTTAACATCCAAATAGTGCTGCCTCACGGTCCTATTTGGGATGTCCCAATCACACCGGGCAAATTATATTCGAAGCCTTGAGTATTGTTGTAAGTTTTCTGTCATGAAAGGGTGATACCCTGGAGAACCCTAAGCCATCAAACTACCGAGGCTAATGGAGCTGCCTGCGTCTGGGCTCATGGAAGGCATGTACACATGCATGTATAAACTGTGTGCACACAAAACCTCATGCAGGTTAGATCTTTGGGATTCTAAGGGCTTGAATTTTGTTTGCGCTTCTTCTTTTTGCCTTTCTGTTTCAGCATCTAAGTAGTGTGGGTCGATAGGTGCCGGCTACACAAAGAGGCATACACGTGCTACTTAGAACTTGTTTTGTGCGACGGATTCTCTCCCCATTGGCAGCCTAACCTGATGTGACAGCAGCTCCGAAGATACCGTGAAATCTTGCGAGTGTCGTCTAAGAGCACTGTCGCTTTTGCACATGCTTGTTGGCATCGGTGTTGGATTAATCCCTTCCCCCTAATAAT